TACTAGATTAAAAGGTTATCGTTACAAATGTCTTATACTATGACGATAACGATAAAAAATAGACAAAGTCCCCCTTATGGTATCATATAAAAATATACTAAGTTTTTAATGTATAGACGTATAGCAAAATGTATATAAAAAAGCATTTAGTAATTTGTACGCATAAACATTTGCCTTATATGTAATAGTCAAAATTTGTTATTGTGATACGATTACTTCAGTCGACCGTCGAGCGGATCTCTACCCAAACTGGTATCGGCAGCCCTCGATAGTCACATGCCCGCACATTTTTTTTTGCCATGACTTTGTTACGTGATTTGCATATCTCGGATTTGTCTATTTCGGACCGGGTGATCTCAACTAGTGAGTGTCGTACATTCCTATCGCTGGAAAATTAGCACCTTGTGCTTGCTCCGCTAAATCATATGCCTGTAACACACCCGAAATAGATCCCACTTACCAAAATAGATTTCATACCCAAAATAGATCCCACATGCTCGAAATAGATTTTTTATATAAATACCAATGCCCTGCTTTTCGCAATAACTGCTCAAAGTCAGAAAAAGTCTGATGACTGGACCAACGATCAACTGCGCTTACTGCGCCCTTGTGACAATTAACCAGGCGATCATCCCTCTTCCCACGCTTTTTTTTCTCGTAGGTCAATAAGCGAAGCCATCAGCGCTCCTCGAACTCAAAACAGACGTATCACTCTTTCATCGCCTTAATTTAGTATTCGATCGATTGAAGGTATATATATTTTGTATGTAATCACATCTTTACTTCAGCCATGCCGAACCTATTGAAAAAAGTTAAAAAAAAAATTATCAAGTTCACCAAAAGAGGGAGCAGAGGTCCGGTTTTTTGTTGTTGTCAAACATAGTATTTTCAGAGTTATATTGTACTCAAGCATTTTACTCACCACAGGCGCTCCAATCACCGACCTCACTGAAGAATACACGGTTCAAAGTTCCAGCATCGTTCAAGAAGACATCGCTCAAAGCACTTCGAGCAGGTCTATAATAACTACTCGCGAACCTGACAAAGAACCATCAACAAATATTCCCGA